TCATTTACAGAAATGCATTTAGGAAATATCATCAATAATTGTCAGTGAGAAAGAAGGAACATAAGTATTCACTGCCACGTGCATCACTATCAATGTCTTACGTCACTTGGGAAACAATTTCTTACGTGTCACCTTAATTAACCATTTAAGATGACAACTAGAGATACAAGAGAGGCCATAAGTCCCCACAACGACAAAAGCATCAGTAACTCCACATATTGACTATCACAAAAAGAACATCACAAGTGTTATTGGTAAACCCCAATTGAACCAATTATAGAGGCACATAAAGTACAAATAAACAGACATGAAAAATTAATTACGCAGCACACGTATGTCAAGTTGCGCTGGGGCAGACTCACACACGCTACCAATAAATCAGCATTAATTCTGGTCTCCTTTACAGAAATGCATTTAGGAAACATCATCATTAATTGTTAGTGAGAAAGAAAGAACACAAGTATTCTCTGCCATGTGCATCACTATCAAAGTCTTACGTCACTTGAGAAACAAATTCTTACATGTCACCTTAGTTAACCATTTAAGATGACAACTAGAGATACAAGAGAGGCCATAAGTCCCCACATGAACAAAACCAACATTAACAACACATATTGACTAGACTAGAATACAAATATTAGCTAAGATCTTAATTAAACATTTAAGTGATCATTGATAGTAAGAAAGACAACCTAAGTTTACACTAGATTAGCAAATCAAAATCAATACTTTACGTCGTTTAGAGAACAATATTAAAATCACTTCCTTAAACCGGTAACTGAGCAAAAACCTTTATGAAGCGGATGTTCAACTAAAACTTCCAAATAGGTTTGTAAGCAAAACGGTCACAAACAGATCAGAAAACATGATTAACTAATAATTACCCCAAAAATTGCTCCATTTAATCAGTCCCTGATCCCAATTAACACAATTCCAACAATATGCTTAACCATGCCCTTAGCTACAAAGATGATGAAACAATGTTAGAGCTATCCATATGTCACTAACGTACCAAGGACATTGCATTCAAACTGTCTTATGAATGAATTTTGAAGCTTACACCTCCATTACATGTCTATTAATGTCCCTCCTAGTAGAAAATTTTCAGCATAACAAGTCACGGATATTAAATCAATGGCCTAAAACCTCATTGCAAATCCAAAACAGTTTACATTAGTTGCCATCTATTTGAGCTAAAACAAAGACACTGCTATCGAAAAGGGAAACTTTTTTTCTGCAATTACCATTGGAGCATATAAGTACGATTTTCTCAAATTTTAATAATAATTAACACAGATAATTACAAATCTATAAATTTCTTTTGCCTCCGTTTGTCATCAACGATAAATTATTCAAAACAAATCAGAAACAACACCTCCAGCTAACGAACACTTCAAATCTAAGCATTTTGCAACAATTAAAATCAAAATAGACAGATTAATTTCAATTTTCTAACGTTCATTGTCAGCACTACTGCATGTAGTACAATCATTAAGCTAAAAATGCTACCAAAATATCTTTAAAAAATAAATAATCCAATAATTTCAGTGACACCACACAAAGAAAAAAAAATCCAAAAAAAGAAACAAAATGAAGAAAAGTTGGATCAGTGGAGAGCTTACGAAGAGAAGTATCTTGATCCGGCGAGGACGGGAGACGAAACGGGGAAGCGCCAAAAGGAGATCGACAAAACCCTAGAACTGGTTCGTAAAGTAGAAACAAAGATGCAGAGAGGAAGAGAAAGAGAGAGAAAGCAAGGAAGAGGAGGACGAAGAGGGACAGAGAAAGGGAGAACGTAGTTAGGGGAATAGGTGAGTGGGACTTTGTTGGTGACAGCCTGTCTCCAGCTGTGTCGTCCGAGCCTCTTGCTTCGGAGTTCCTAGATAGGTTAGGCTCGTCTGTTTTCCTTTCCTACGTGGCCTTTGCCTTGGCGGCGTTTTCGGCGACTGCTTCTCTTTTTTCCTTTTCATTTTTCCTTATAAAGATCATAAATTTATTTAGATATAAAAATTAATATAAAAAATAAATATTTAAATGTAAAAAGTAATTAATTTCTTACTTATTATGGAAGATGTGAATCTATTAATATGGAAATAAAATCCAGCATGAATGGATTTGAAATATCAAGGATGAATAGGAAATAAGTTAAGTATATAAATGATAATCCAAGGATGCTTGATATCTTGGGTACAAAGATCCAACCATCTACAATGTATTATTATATTTTATTAAAATATTTTATTTTATCTATACATTATTACTTAATCATAAAAAGACATATTATAAATATGAAGTGATTACAATTGATTTATAACCAATATATACACAAACAATACATCAAATATAAACTCTTTTTGAAAACATGTTTAATTTCGGTTTATAGGTAGTGTTTTTTTTAAAATTATTAGTAAATATTTATACATTATCACTTAATTATGAAATGATACCCTATAAATATGAAAATGTAAAAATTTAATTTTTAAAAATTTAAATTTATTTATTAACAAATATTGTATAAAATTTATATACTAATAATTAATCAAATATATATTTTTTAATTTTATGTTTAATTTAGATCAATGAATAATATTTTTTTTCCCAATCATTATTAAATATTTAAAATCAATCAAGTTAATGATTGATTTACTAGAGTTATTGTATGAAAACATTGTTTTCTTTCATGTTTGTCACAAATTCATCAAAATAATTGAAGAATGATTAATAAGTTATTTATTATTTAATTTAAATTTAAAAAAAAAACAAAACGAAGAAACCCTCTAAGACAATTGATGGGTGATGGAGGGTCCCATTGTTTAGCAGTTTTCTTTTCCTTTTTCTGTCTGATTTTATGTTATTTCAAACTATTACTATTAAGCTTTTTTATTTGTCAGAAGTATGTTGGCTAGACTATCTTAATTAAATTTGTGTGCTTTCACTTATATAAGAAAAAGCTCGACCAACGGTAGGGATGTCAATGGGTAGTATACTCGACACTATTGAATCTGTTTAAATAAAATTTAGATATCTTAAAACCGGGTTTAAGTAGAATACAAGATAATAATTTAAAAATATTTGTTATTAGAATATAATTATAAATAATAAAAATTTATTTTTATATTATTTATAATTGACAAATTATTTATTTTAATTTTATAAATTATCTAAAATATAAAATTCACTTTGACTTTATTAGTTTAATTTTGAATAATTAATACACTAAAAAATACAAATTTTTATTTTTTAATTAATAAATGTAGGCAGAGCTGAATTTTATAACAAATGCCGACGTAATTATTAACTAAATAAACGGATTCAATTTTAATAGATTATTGTTAATCTGGTTCAAATTAAATATGATATTCATAATTGGTTCAAATGAACTGCAAATAGAAATAATTGTTTAGTGCTTTTTTGTTACTCTAAAAATTGCAATGTTGTGATAAAAGCTTGATTAGTTGAATAATAGACTAAGTAACAACTTGAATGTTTTTAATCCTTATCATTGCCTGCCTTGAGTGCTACATTCCTTCAAACAAAGGCGTGTAGCAAGGAAAATCCACTATATCTTTCTTACTCCTAAAAAAGTAAAAAAGTAATAGCAAGTTTTTTTATATATATTTTGATCATCTTTTTAAGCAAAAAAAAAAAATCCTTTGAATTATGACATATCCTTTTTTTTTGAATTACATGTGCTTAGATATTATTGAGTATTAATCAAAATATAAAATAAAAAGAAAGGAGAAAACTTGAAATTTTTATAAATAAAGGATAATTAATTATTTAAAATTTAATTAAAGAAAATGAATTTTGATTTTTAATATGAAAGAAGAGAGAATTCAAATATAGTTTTTTAATTAAAAATACATGTATTCATATTGAATAAAATAATTAAATAAATATTTTATCTATTAATAATTGATATATAATTTCTCTACTTAAAAGAGTAAATTTTAATTTTTTTTATTTAAAAAAAAAAATACTCGGACGAGAATGTTGTTCCGAATCATTGAACCATTGGGTTCAAAGTGAAAAGGCCTAGCCTTTCCTTGAGCCGAAAATATCTACCGACTCAGCCCAGCCAAGCCCAACCCGTTCGAGTCACGTCGCTGCCAACTAGGATATTTCTCAGTGGGAACCGCATCCAAGTTTCCACTCTGGGGACATCACCATATGCCACGTGGCATAACCTCCACTCTCCACCCGTGCGGGGCGCCTAAGCAGGGATCCCCATCTCACTCCCCTCCTCCCCTTCTCCCACCCACGACCATAATCTTTTCTGTAAACATTCCTTTTGTTTTCCTTCTCCTCTGTTTCAAAACGAAAATCAGGAAAAAATTTTATTTTATTCTCTTTTATATTATTTTACATTTTCAGATTACAAATGCATTTTTATATTTTGTTTTTCCATTTTCGTTTTCTATTTTTTCGGGTTCAAGCAGAAAAAACGAAGCTGATTTTGTTAAGTTGGAATTATGGACACTCTGTATTAGCCAAAGTTATCATTTAAGGGCTGTTCATAGTTCTAGGATTGATGTCCAGATCCGCGTTTCTCTCTAGAAGAACGAACATTCTCACAATTCGCCATGTTCTAAAAAAAGGAATATTGTTTTCAAGTAAAATCAAATTTTCAAAGACCTGGTAAATATATTTTTGGTTAGTTTTTGCCTAGGTTTAGTTGTAATTTTTTCTTTATGACACACTTGCTTCATTTTTCTGTCTTTAATAAATTTAGATAACAGAATTATTACATATTTACAAAATATAATTGCTATTTTTGTTTTGTTTTTTGAATATTCATTGTTGGTTAATTGACAGTTTGACACCTGCATTTTTTTTTGTTCTACTTGTTCTTTGAGGGGGGGGCCAAAGTTGCCTTTTGGGGTTTCATAATTTGGGTCAAGGAATCCCCATGTTGATCCGTTTCTAACTTTTTTAGTTTTTTTCTTTGATTTGGGGATCTGGGTTCTTGTTGATTTGTAGTATAAGCATTTTGGGATCTCTCAAATTAGCATATGTTTTTGATTTGGGATCTGGGGTCTTCTTCATTAAGTCGAAAGTTGCATTCTTTTTTATATCACCCAAAATCAAGAAAGTTTCAAATATTCAAGAGAGAAGATTAAGACACATTTTGTTGAGGAAGGTAGATTGCTAATCCTGAGAGCCTGATTTATCTGGTATCATTGAATTCTATAACATAGGAGAAAAACTGCATTGAATGAGGCAGTTTCCTGTTTGGAAAACAACAGGGGCTCTAAATTATGGGTTGCATTTGCTCGAAAGGAACTCGAGCAAATGAATATGTTGAAAACAACCGTCGCAAAAGAGACAAGGCCCACAAGGACTCTGGAAAAACCTCAAAAAAGTTGCCTGTTTCGTCTAAGAGGGACAATGTTTTGGTGGAGGCAGATGCCACAGCACGTCTGATATCGAATCAGCAGGCAAATCACAATGCCGGTTATGCGCCAGCATCCTCTTCTGATGATGAGGAAAAGAAGGAAGCATTGGCGGTTGTTGAGAGGTCTAAAAGGACCCCACCCCAGCTGCAAAGGAGGGCAACAATGGAGGCCGGGCTAAGGGCCGGACAAGGGCAGCAACCGAGGATGTCCAGGATCATGAGTGCAGCTGGTGGCGAGCAAGGGGCACAGGTGGTTGCTGGTTGGCCTTCTTGGCTAGCAGCTGTAGCTGGAGAAGCCATCAATGGGTGGATACCTCGAAAGGCGGACTCATTTGAAAAGTTGGAAAAGGTCTGTACAATAGCTGTATTTTTTATTACTTATTCATTTATAGCTTGGTTTGAATTCTTGTGTCCTGTCCATTGCTAATTGTATTGAGTGGTTCAGAAATTTGTGTTTACTTTGAAATTTATATACTAGCTAGTACAGTGCGGTTAAAATGAGCATATGTTTTGTTTTTTGCTTTTTTTTTTAAAAAAAAGAGCTTATGTTTTGTTAATATGCATTTTCATACACATTATTGCAACCTGCAAGGGGCTGTAGCTCTTTGATTTATTCTTGCAAAAAGATCATATTTCTTTTTTTCTTTCAATAACATAAGTGTCCTGCTAATTATGTAGATCGGTCAAGGAACTTACAGCAGTGTGTACAAAGCCCGTGACCTTGAATCAAACAAGATAGTTGCCTTAAAGAAAGTGCGATTTGCTAATATGGACCCTGAAAGTGTTCGTTTCATGGCAAGAGAAATTATTATATTGCGTAGGCTTGATCATCCTAATGTCATGAAGCTTGATGGTCTAATTACTTCTAGGGTGTCTGGAAGTTTATACCTTATATTTGAATACATGGAGCATGATCTTGCAGGGCTTGCAGCAACATCTGGGGTTAAGTTCAGTGAGGCCCAGGTATAGTCATATCTTCTATATTTATTTGATTATATCATTAATTTTGTTCAGACCAGAGTAAAACTTGTGATTCCATAATCTTCTGTACTTCAATACAGTTATATCTGTGATGGAAGGACACGATATTATGAGATGTCTGTTACATCATGAACTGTGAATGGCTTTTCATTGGTTTTTGATAGTACACATAATGCATGATGCAAAAACTTGTTACAATTTCGTTCTCAAAGGGAAAAGAAACTTGTTGGAAACTCCTTTCTTTGGACATTAGCTGCTTGTACATGTTGTAGCAATTATGTTGAACCTTCACCATAATGCGTCATTATGAGAGGGTGAAGAATCATATATAACCCATTTTTAGTTTCTGGCTCAAACGAAAAACAATGAACTCAGTTGTTTGGGTGTTCAAGTGTTGAATTTTGTGTTATCTGTGCAGATCAAGTGTTATATGCAACAGCTGCTTCGTGGACTTGACCACTGCCATAGTCGTGGGGTTTTGCACCGTGACATCAAGGGCTCAAATCTCTTGATAGACTATAACGGCAACCTCAAAATTGGTGATTTTGGACTGGCAACCTTTTTCTGTCCCAGTCAGAAGCAGCCTCTAACAAGTCGTGTAGTAACGTTATGGTACCGCCCTCCTGAGCTTTTGCTTGGTTCTACAAACTATGGAGTTGCTGTCGATCTGTGGAGTTCTGGTTGCATCCTTGCAGAATTATTTTCTGGAAAGCCTATCATGCCTGGAAGAACTGAGGTAGTTATTTCAGTTTTTGGGGTATTAACACTTATATATTTTGGATCTGGTTATGTACAGCAAGATTTAAATGAATTTTTTGTTTCTTCTGTTAGAAAAAAAAAATCCTCCTTATGATGACGTAAAATTATAACCATCTGTTTGTATACATGCATGGCGGTATATTTGTATGGTTGTGTGTGTTTTTGGGTGTGTGGATATCAGTGCACAACCAAAAACTATGATCTCATATAGGGATTTGGTAATGAATTGTCTATAAGTCATTCAAAATTTACCCATAGAACTGTCCAAAGGGTAGTACACTTGAGTTTTGTAGTACAAAATTTGGGGGTGCAATGATGTCAACATATATAATTTGTAGGTGGAGCAACTGCATAAAATCTTCAAACTCTGTGGATCACCTTCTGAAGAGTATTGGAAGAGGTCCAAATTGCCACATGCAACTATTTTCAAACCTCAACATCCTTATAAACGTTGTGTTCCTGAGACATTCAAGGACTTTCCTTCATCTGCTTTGGCCCTTTTGGAGGTTCTTCTTGCAATAGAACCTGAGTGTCGTGGAACAGCTTCTTCAGCACTTCAGAGTGAGGTAAAATTTAATGTTGTGTTCCTTGTAGTCATTCATTTTCATCAAGATAATAAAAGCTTTTTTAGCCACCACCTATTTACATGTTCTTCTTTTGGGATTAATCTTTCTGTTAACTGCTTCTGTTTATTCTTTTTCCCTGAGAACAATGGAAGGTGCCTCCTCTCCTTGTACAAGCAAGCAGAGAAAGGGACCCTCATACCTTAATGGCTTGAACTGTATTTTGACATATTCCCATTCACTATCTTCAGAAGAGTACCCTTTTAATGCTCAGTTGCTAATTTCAGGTGTGCCTATTGGTTAGTTTGCTAAAGAGGAAGAACTCCTTCTTATGATAAGCAAGAAGCTTCTTTTTGCATATTAACTGCACTTGAGATATTATTTTGATCTTTGTAATTGTAGCCTTTGATATTTAGTTGGAAAATTCCAGATATCCATCTTGCTGGTTTATTAGCAAACAGCAGCTCTTCTTTATAGTTGAGAAATGACATGTTCGCTAAAGTTAATTATGAACTAGTTACCGCACAGCATGTCTCTGGGTCCTGCTGGATAGTTGTCATTGGAATGCCAATTAGATTGGTTGCTTATGATTATCCTACGTTTTCATCCTTAATACTTGTCTTAATCTTCTTGTTGTTTACAATCTTTCATTTTGGGTGATTTTTTTAACTCTTAAATTTCTCTTACAGTTCTTTACAACAAATCCTCTTCCATGTGATCCATCCAGTTTGCCCAAGTACCCACCTAGTAAGGAGTTTGATGCCAAGCTTCGAGAAGAGGAATCTAGAAGGTATTCTGCTCCTACTTTTTTTTGGCTCAGTTCTGCATCTACTTTGTATTGAAAAATTTGATTCCTTATCAAAGTATTTTAGAACAAAAATTTTGTGAAAATTGTCACGTGCCTAATTAAACTTTTCTCAAGTGTGGTGACATTTACTCATTATGGTAGAAGCTCTAAAATTTCTTCTTTGTGATTTGCATATGATATTATGTGGTGAGAATTGGGAAAATAATGATCCTTTTGCCTCCCATCCTAAACATAAATTTTAATGGCCCATTAAATAAGAAAGCAAAAACTGAAGAAACTAAAATCTCTCCTCCCACCAGAAAGGGATGAAAATTCTCAATTGACTTAGCTTGTGTTATTGATTATGTTAAATTGAGCACCCTCTCTAAAATTTCCCTGAAAAAGTATAAAAACAACTATTCTACCTGTTTGGTAATCGTAAAACCAGGCGAAGAGCAGCTGGTGGAAAAGTACATGAACATGATCCAGTTAGAAAGGCTTCCAGACAATCTACAGCCGTGCCAGCCCCAGATGCCAATGCTGAGTTACAGGCATCCATACAGGTATTTTTTAACTTGCACGGTTTATTTGCTTATGCATAATACATCTGTTTATGACAGTATGTAACTATGGTGTTTGAACTTTTTTCAATGGAACATTAGCCCCTTTTGTGTCATGACAAATATTTATTCTTTTGCTTGATACAGAAGCGGCAAGGACAGTTCAATACTAAAAGCGTCAGTGAAGTATACCATCCTGAAGAAGACAGGGGCGCTGGCTTTCGTATTGAGCCTCCAAAAGGAACAGCAAGAGTTGTATACTCTCATTCTGGCCAGTCAATGCACCCAAATAACTTTGGATCATCGCGGAATATGAAGGCACATGAGATTGAGTCTATGAAGGCTTCTGCTCGAGCATTTGGTTCTCCAAGGAAGCCTGAAGAGTTGAGAACTCAGACAACATATGTCCATCATGGAGCAGTGGAATTGTCCAGATTTTCTAACTCAGTTGCAGTTAGAGGCAGTTCACGGTTTGATATGACCAAAGAGAATAGCATAAATCCACACTGGCCAGAGGAACGCTTTACTGCCAGATATAACCATATGGATAATGCTGAGCCCTCTGAAAAGCATGAATGGTCCCATCATTTACTTGATAGGCCAAAGACTTCCCATGAGAAGGATGAACAGCCATCTTCCCAGGAAACGACAGTGGTAAGGGAATTCCTGACATAGAATCAGTTTTGTCAATCATGTTTGTTGTTCTAGACATCCTATTTCTTTTCCTTTAGTGACAGATTCAATCCCTGTTCTCGTGACAACTGATTTCTGAATGTAAGGCTCTTATTTGACAGCCGTGAAAATTTGAAGCTAAAAGCATTTAATTGGAAAAGAACATAGTTTGTAACTTTTCCAACAGCCTTAGTCTGCTTTTACAGTTTTCATGGCATAATGGAATGTAACATCCATCAGTCTAACTGTCTGGAGTTACATATTAACACTTTTATGTTTGAATCCAGGGTTATGTTCCCAAGAAAAATCGAATCCACTATTCTGGACCATTGCTGCCTCCTGGAGGAAACCTTGAGGAAATGCTCAAAGAGCACGAGAAACGAATCCAGCAGGCTGTCCGCAAAGCTCGTTTAGACAAGACAAAGACAAAAAATGACTTCAATGATAATGGACAAACTGAATTGCTGCTTTACCACACGAGAAATGGCAGGTGACAATTGGAAAGAAGTTTATACTGGCATTGTTTGGATGCAGAAGCTCAGCAGAGTGTCATAATTTAATTATTAGAAAGAAGTATTGTCTGTTGGAGGTCTGAACAAGTCTTGCTGCTAGAAGAGGTTCAAATAATCATGAAATTTCTATGAATTTTCAACCCAGCAGCTTGATAACTTTTCTGTCTTAACTTCACTATGAAGTTCTAACCACAGAAATCTTTTCTGTCTTAAGTTCACTATGAAATTCTAACCACAGAAAAACGGCAGAAGATTGAGAATGGTGGGTGGTATATGGTGATTGCTGTTGAGATTTGCATACTGGCCTT